TACTGTCATTCCTAACATCCCTCAACGCGACTCCCCCCGAACCTCAAGCTGCAAACAAGAGGCCCAGCAGCCTGTCAAAGGAACGGGAATCGAAATCGGCTCGGCCGCTTCCGCTTTTCGACTCTAATTTTGCTGCTGTTGCTAGAGGTCCTAGGTGCTACTTCCTAATGCTTAGTTTGGTATTTCCGCGCTCCGCATCAGCCCGATTTCAATCCTGGCCGAGCAGGAGGACAAGGGCCCACAAACCCCAGAAGGATAATCACTGCAGATGCTTCAGGTGACAGAACGGGACTGCAAGCACATCGTGGCCAGAGCAAATGCTTCCGAAACATTCCGAAACTCGAAGTAAAGTCCTGAGTCAAGACCACCACGTAAAATCCAAACCCAGCTGAGCAGACACTACCGGAACCTCCAGTGCCCGGAGAAGCTCGGAGAGTGCGGGAGCTCGGCCCGTACCAGGACCCGACCTTCCGCGCAGAATCCGGGTTCTCGGTTCGAACTCAAGCTGACGGAGTCGGGTTTGGCAGAACCTTCCCGTCCCTCAGCTCTGCGGATGAAGTTGAATGCACTACCAAACCCTCGGTCGGTGCTGGCAGTCCGACCTTTTGGCAACACTTGAAAGCTGTCGCCAGTCACTTCGACTTGGACTTGCTTGCCACCACGTCCCTCCAGGAAAAATACGTAGACGTGCCGTCCTCGGACTGCAGGTACGTGGCATCCACGTCCTCCGGGATGTCAGCAGCTTTGATCCTCTCGTTGATGGCCTCCTCGTCCATGAGGATCTTCGGCGCGATGAGCGCCTTCTTGGGGTGCCGGGCCAGGGCGGACCTCTGCAAGATCCAGAGCTTCCAACCTTCGGTGGTCAGCAACTGCTCGCGGCCGCTCGGGAGAATTGCTCTGAAAACCTCAATCGGCTGTTCGTAGCCGATGTACACCACTTTGTCTACCGCATGGTCCAGCACTTTGGCTGCCTGCCAGACGCGGTTCAGCGGCTGGTTGGGAGCCCGGCCCTCGGGCTGATAGTCCGGGATGCTCCTGCAGGCATACCCCACCTCGAAGGGGTCGACCCGCCCCAGGCTGCACATCTTGGAGTGAATGTCACTCTCCCTTGGGCAGGCCACCCACGTCTCTCTCGGCGCCGGGGCCACGGTTGCTATCCCGGAGGGCTCTGGCTCTGCTCGCTGCTGTCCATGAGTAGCCGTCGTAGCCGACCGCAACGCCCGTGCGAAGAGCCGACCTGCAACCACGCCACAATTGCGATCACGGTATACACAATTGCCCCGGCGCAACGTCAATGCCGGCTACTGCACTGCGCTCCTGCGGCTTTGCGCTGCAGCTGCCTGTCCAAACCTCGCACAACATGCACGGCTCGCAGCTACGCTGGGTACGACACGGCGAATCACCAAAAGCTAGCGAGCACCTGGCCTACATCATCGTGGTGCTGCAGCTTCTTGTTGGAGCCTCGCATAACACGGCTCACATCACTAAGAGACCCTTTTGGACGTGAAGGGCCTTCGTGCTGAGAAGACTCGCGCCAACTTTCACTCCAGCCTGGGCAGAATGAATCGAGATGCAGCCTGAAATCACTCAGCCGTTCTGAAACGC